CTACATGCCCTGACTGCTACTAATCCACAAAGGCACTGCCTGAAGCTTGTAACCAATGGAGGCTGAAATTCACTCAATCAATTCTCTTCTTTTCCTTCTTTCATTTTCTTTCCCCTTCTCTTCTCCACTCTTAAACTGGTTCACTCCACCCTCTTATTTTCCTGCTGGTGCTGCTCCCTTGCATTCACGGCAGTCGCTAAGCCCTGCACCCCATGTGGCTTTCCCCTTGTAGGCACCAGGAGCCATGGGGTGGCTGCAGATTATCAAAGGGAATTTTCCACTACTGCAGCTCACAGGAATCTGAGACTTTACACAGCTGAATTTGCAAACACAGCTGGATTTGAGGGAGCTTTTCTACAATGTTTGCTGTTTCCCAGTAAATCCTGACTTTCATTTACTTGTCTCCAGTCACCGCATCTGGCATGCCTTGCTGCAAGGCCAGCTTTTGCGGAGTGTCAGTGCCATTGCCCAAGCCTTTCAGAGGACCTCTGGATGCACAGATATCTCACCATTCCCATCACATCCTGCTCACCTTGACCTTCACACTGCAATACTTTTCTTCCCTCTCATCTTCAGTTTGGCCTCGCTGGCTCTTTCCTGCCTGCACGGCTCGCAGGGGCCAGGATGCTCACAGCCCTCAGGACACTGCCCCAGGCACAGGCAGACTGCCCACACGTACCTCGTGGCACGCTGAGCTCCAGGCGCAAACAAGCCGGGGCTCTGGAGCCTCCCATGCCTGGAGCCAGCATGAAGGCCTGGATGGGAAGCAGATCTCCTGTGCCAAACCTCCCCTTGGAAGACATTACAACCATGTCTAATGGCTGCCTGTTAATGCAGGGTATTTTCCAGCCAGGCCCACGCACTCATTTCATTGCAGATATTCTTGGCCCAGAAACCTCTGTGACCTGGGGACATGCCAGCACTCACGCTGCCTCACAGCACAGGAATCCTGACATTGCTATTGTTCCCTCTTTCCAGGTACCCCAAAGACAGATGGTGACCGAGCTACTTCAGGAGAACTGGCTTGTAACCAACTCCCAACAAAGTAAGATGCATATAAGCTCTGTGTTTTTCTTCCCTTTCTTTTTTTCCATTTTCTCCTCTCCTCTCCGCTCCTCTCCTCTTTTCATAATACACCATTCTCATTTCAGGCATGATAAAGCGTGCCAGCCTGCAGCCCTGAACACCACAGCTCTATTTCTCCGTGGGGCCAGCCCAGGCCACAACAGGGCAAGGTCAGGCAGCCGCTCCCCAGCTGTCGATGTAGAGGCACTGACAGAGCCAGCTCAGCCTCCAAATTTGTAACCGTGCCGGCCTGCCGGCCCATGGGGTGGCCCTGGAGGACTCCCCGGCAGCCCCGAAGGCGCTGGGTTGCAGACAGTCATCTGCAGCAGGCCTGAGCCTGCCAGCCATTTCACACAGGGGCAATGATTTAAGTAAGTTGCTGGCAGACACGTTCTGCAGTCAGGCTACCAGGAAGGCATCAGCATGGCTGCGCTGTCCTCTGGATGCTCTGTTCCCCACAGCAAGCCTCTGCCTGCCCTCCAACACAAGGCACTAAGCTGCCCTGTCCCTTGGGTGCTGCCAGATGGACACTGCGTAGCAATTTCATTCCTGTTTTAATGGATTGTTTAGAACATGGAAACGAACGGTGTCATTAGCAGTGATGGCCCCAGTTTGTTTATTTTGATAAGGAATTTGCCTCTCTTGCAAAGCTCCCACTCGACAATCTCCTGCTTTGTGGAGGCTTATATGGAAAATGTACGCCTGCAGTATAGAAACTGTCACAGAGAAAGTACCAATTGTCATAACTATAAGATGGGAGTGGAGTCTGCTGGCAGCTGGGCTGGTGTCAGGGACGTTGTGGGTCTGTAGGATAGACTCACTGGCTGTAAGTGGTATGTAGGGAGAAATGTCTAAATTATTATCAAGTGATTTTAGTGTTAAAGGCAATGAAAAGGGTAGTTCATACCTCACAGAACTAACCTTTTAGGCTGTCTGCACACTTTGGAGGACAGTGTTTTGCCAGCTATTATTCCCTGAATAGTCTCTCTGAAATAAGCTGTAGATTTAAAATAATGTAAATATTGTAAGCAGGGAAATTATTCCAGAATAGCTTTAGCGGAACAGGTGATTCTGGTGCAAACAAATCCTAGATGTCTTCCCAACCAGGAATATTAGACACAGTTCCAAGTCAGAGTCTACCACACAGCTTTGCAGTGTTGCCACATTAGGTATCTTCCTCAATCATTAGGAACAAAGTACTTCTCATTTCCAAGCTCCTGAGTATGCAAATCTCCAACAAAGACCTTTGAATATGAGAAAGCTTTTCCAGCATCCTTACAGTGCCAGGTTCACAAACACCCAAAACCTAAATTCAAGATAGGGCTTGAGAAAAGTTATGGAGACACAGGATTTAAAAGGGAACTAGAGAAGCCAAAAAATATGTACCGCAGGCAGGAGAGCTCTTATCTCGACATACTGTATGTTGTCCTCGTAGAGTTCCAGCAGCCCCTGGTAGAAATAGGCCTTGAACACAGGTGCATAGCAGATAAGCCCAGAGGCAGTAAGAAAGACTTCTTCAAATCTTCTCCAAATGTAAGTCTCAGAAGGGTAGGCCAGCTCAGGGGCATCTGTCACCAGGGTCAAATTTCTCAGCAGGCTGTAGAAAAGAGTGAAGGGAAGAGGAAGAATTAGAAGAATGAACAAGTCAAATAGCTTTCACTATGCAGAAAGGCACCATCTGGAAACTCGGGTGACTTTTACATGAGGAAATAGGATTCCTCCAAGGTAGGTGAGAGTTTTATTATCAGAGATCAAGCTTTGCAGACATCACAGTCTCCCATCCACATCCTTGTAGATGAAGTAAGGCAGCACTGTCCAACTGTGCTGAAGAAAGCATTCATGTTGGCGAGGACCAAGAAGAGGCAAGGAGCAAATCCTATCCCAATTGAGGTCCAATACCTTACTTGGAGCCTGCTGGCAGTATATAAACAGGTGTATTATACTACTGGTACCATTATGAAGCATCCAGATAGGTTTTATATGGCTTATTCTACATTTATTTTAATGTTATGTACTTTAATATATTTATATTTAATGGCTGGGGGCCCAGATAATATCTGTGAATCAGAAATCCTTTTTCCCCCCAAGTGAAACAAAGCTGCAACTCCATCGGTTAAATGAAAGCTTGTACCTTAGATAACTTTTTCAGATTTATCTGCTGGGAAACAACCAATAAGAATTGTGGGTCCTGCCTTTCTCTTGCCTTCAGGATGGTAGTGTACTTGTTTCCTTCATAGACTCTGCTGGAAAATAAGCCTCTTTAAGAAACCCAGAGAGGCCGCAGGTTATTTTATCAAGTAAAGTTTGAGGGAACCAGTAATTGCATTATTGTTGAGTTGTGGGTGTAGCTATAGGCGAGCGTTTCCATTTGGGACAGGGTGAAAGTCTATTATTTGTGGGAAAGTTTAGAGTTTTCATTCTGTATGAAACTTTTCCTCTGACATCAGGTCCCTTTTTCAGCTGGCCACCTGAAGAAGATTTTTTAAGAAATTTCTCAGGCTGGAGGGCAAAGTCTAAGCGGCAATACAGGGAGCAATTAACCTAATTCCAGGCTGGACAAGCTAAAGCCACAAGCTAAAGAGAAGAGTGCTTGAGGCTCATGATATTACCAATCCTAGTAAGACTGATGTTTATCTAGTCTCAGAGCCTGTGCATGTTCAGATAGAAATACCTTCGTCCATGCTTCATCTTTCATCCAAGTATATGGTTTCTCTTTGATAACTGCTACTGATCTTTAATAATGTTTCGTGTTTGATGTCTTGCCCCTCATCCTACCACAGTACTCTTCTCTGTTATATAGGAGATGTGGGTTTGATTTGTGCTTGTATTATCTCATTCCAAGAAGCTTCTGTGGATGGAACTAAAGATTTCCCTTCTACAGATCTAAAGTATGATCTGGTCCAAACTTATAAACTAAGACATCCTGAGTGGGGGCATCACTTTGGAGTCGCTCCATTCGGAGCATAAAATGGAGCTGTTCCCCCAGCATCTGTGTGTTGGCTGCTCTTGGCTCTCTAAGGTCCCTCTTCCAGAGGCTGCAGTTTCACTTCTTCTTTGCTCTGTTAATTGGTTTGCTGGGAACAATTTTAGAAACAAAACAGTTTATCAGCGGAGACATTTGTACCACATTAAGGGCAAGATTTTAAATGCACAACAGTCAGGAAATTCAGAGTTAAGGTTTCCACAGCAACTTTAGCTCTGCCCTCTTGTGCATTACAATGGGGCCTTTCGGTCCATTATCACACAACACTGGGCAACCCCAGATACTATTCAGTAAACAAAGCAACAAAATGGAAAGGAACTGAACCATAACCAAGCAGGCACATGTGCAGCATTTTGTACCGCGGCCTGCAGTGGCGTTTGGCATTTCAGACATGTTCGGGGGAGCACTGAGGAGTGACATTGTAGCATCACCCTAGAAACCAGGAATGCAAGAGCCAGGGGCATCTTTACAGAGCTTATCTGACTGACAGAGCGCAGTCGGAGATTGGCCTCAAGCGGAGCGGGTGTGCGCCAGCTCCGCAGGGAGGGGAGAGAAGATTTTGTGTGGGAAGAGCTCGGGCTGTGCGGCCAAGCCTCTGGGAAAACGCGCGCCGCGGTCGCGCTCAAACCCAACTTTCCTGCTCCCCTCCTCGCCCGGCCTTGCTCCCACGCTCCTGCCTGGGCCCGGGGCCCGGCCCGGCCCGGCGCGGCGGCCGGGGCGTTCCTCCCGCTAGCGCTGAAAACACTGCGGGAAAAGCCTCCGCGTGGATCAAAAGACCTTGCAAGCCTGTTCTCGCCACCGTGTAGAGCTGCCTTTTAGATAAGGACCAACAGGTACTTGGGATCCAACTGTTTTTTCCCATTCTCCATGAGAACAGACTCCTTCCACAAAGAGCACTGACTGCTCTGCTCCTTATTTTTAAATCTAGCTGGGCAAACTTGGGGCTGTTTACTTAGCCTGTGCTCTTGGGCTAGATACAGCAATAAATCCCCACACCACCCTGCTCCTAAAAGCACATAAATCATCTAATGTATTTTATGATCCCCTTTCCTTTGAGACTGGTTATTGATCCTTAGAACTGTGAAGATTTATTAGGTAACAGTGATCCATGCTTGATAACAGGATAATCTCTTAAGGGTCCAGCCGGCCAATTTTGTACCAGGAGTTGTTGATGCAGATGAAGCAAAGCTTCATGAATACATTTTTGCTTGTTTTCTGGAAAGGAACTTACTCAGTGATCAGGTGCAGACTACAAATAGCTTTCCATGTCATATCATATATACAGTGAACAATGTTACTGCAATGCATGTGCCCAAAGGGGCACAACCAGAGTGACCGGCTAAGGATTATTTATTTTTGACAGTGTTTTTGCTGTCTTTTTTTTCTTTTTTTTTCTTTTTTTTCCCCTAACTGCTTTGTTTCCTTGCACTATATAATACCAGAGTGAAAGGTTGCTATTTCCTGATTTTTAAGTCTTTTTTTTTCTGCTGCTGCTGCTTTTCTATTCTAAATCAGTAATTCCACCACCCTCCTCACCATAGTTGCTGAATGTCTTCCAGTGGTGCATTAAAGAGTGTGACTAACATCTGTCACATGTGGTTCATTCGTTCTCTCTCTTCCTCTTTTCTTCTCCCCAAGGGGAGACTTGCAGAGGGAGGTGAATGTTTTGTTTCTCTAGTGGATTTTATTTTATTTATCTGTAATGTACACGCTGCCCTATTTCTCTGTGGCTAGGGCGAGCCAGAGGACACGAAGGGGAAGGTGCAGGAGGTCTGGGCACCCGTTAGCACCCGGGGGGATTCTCCCCACTCCCTAGGCCTGGCCTCTGTGTCAGCTCCCTCACAGATGACTTCATCCCTATGACAGAGAGCTCCACTGGGCCGCGGGAGACCAACTGCTGGGCATGGCCTGAATCCTTGGGCTACCGGGGGGAGGTTATTTCACAAATATCCGTAATGTCAATGCTGTTTCCCTCAATATCTCTTGGCGTGGTTATTGTGAGCTCTCACTTTACAAGTGGTGACAATTATGTGGCATTTCAAGGGAAAAAATGGCACTCTCCCATATCATAATTGATTGTAAAGAAAACAAGTGTGGAAGTCTTTTTAACTGTGAGAACAGAATTCCCTTCCTTTCTCTTTCTCCAAGCCCAGAATCTCTTGACTCTTGAGACAGCATTAGTTCGAAAGTTTACCAGTAACATAACACTCCAGGGTCTTCTTGGCCCATAGGATTTATGTTTTGAATATGAATGATGAAAGTTGCTTTTGAGACAAAGAAAAAGACTTACTTTCAGCATAAATATAAAACACAGAACACATAAAAATACAAAAATACAGACAAAAAAATGGTATCTGTCTCACTGCCTGTGCCCTTGGTGATCAGGAATGCAGTAAGGTGAAGGAAGTGCATCCTCTAGGAAAGAGTCTGCTCACATTTGCTGAGCCACATTATCTTGCATGAGAACTCTTCCCTACTGCCATATTCCCCTGATACTTCCTTGAAACCACCCAACTATCCATCCGTTCCTTCCTCTGACATCTGCTTTCTCTCAGCTTGTCAGTGCTCAAGGGCAAAGAGGAGTGCAGGGAAGAGGTAGCCTGGGATGCACATGTTCGTGAGACTGGGAGAATTTCCAGAAACTGAGAAGCAGAACAGATTGGGGCCTATTCCTGGCTGGAGACCTATTTCCAGACAAAAAACATTCCTAACCCCTAGATTAGTACCCAGGGATTAGATCAAAATAGGAGGGGAAGCGCCTCAGTGTGGCTCTTGTTCATGTGTCTGCACGTTATGTACAGTGACTCCTTTGCAGCTTCAAAACACTCAAAATACAATATACTTGAATAAATAAGTCTCTGCAACCAATATGCAAGAGATTCAGGTTTTTGTATGTGGCTCTGACACTTGTTTGCTGAGGAAAATCACTTTGTTGGCTTCTGCCTCACCCTTGCTGAGACCTCTGTAGCAGGCCTGCATCGTTTTTTTGTATCTATCACTTTGGAGTCCTGCTTTGACTTGGGGTTACACAACAGTGTTGATAAATAATACAAAAGAAGAGGAATGTGTTGATATTATCTTACGGCCCAAACAGGACCACAGGGAATCAAACCATGCAGAGCTCCGCCCTCCTTCTCCTGTAGGATGTCATGCCACCTACCCTCAGCCAGGAAGGGACATCAAACCATGTAACTTCAGCTAAAAATAAACACAACAAAGAGTTGCTCCTAAGAAGGTTCTGAAATGCCCAGTGTGACTGCTTGTGCCATCAGAATGTGAAGCTATTTCAAAATTTATTGTACATTATGGATTTCCCCGTGGGGGATATTTCTCTCCTCATCACTCCCAGCTGAAATGGAAAGAAACTAACGGGAAACCACTTTTCAGAAACACCTAAGTGACTTCTCACTGGATATTATTTCTTCCATCACATGTCAGGGCAGCTGCACCTCAGTGTATAAAAGGTAGGGAATCCTTTTTCCGAGCCCTTTTCTCCATCCGGGAGAGTCAGCTCTCTGCACTAGCCAGGAGCAGAAACCCCCTTTGCATTTATGAGGGAGGGAAGGCAATGCCATCCCAACGACCTAGCAGCTTGTTAGCCCAACCTGACCTGCCTCCCACATCTGCAGGGCACAGGGCCCCAGGGGCTCCATGACGAGGGGGTGCCACCTCCCTGCAAGTTAAGTAGTCCCTATTTAAAAGCACGCCTACACAATCTCACCAAAGGGTGCTACAGTAAAAGGCAAGAAGTTTCACTTAGGAAATGCCATAATTAGGTTCACCCAGTGACCTTAGTCCAGCTTTCTCCCTGGGTGTCAGTACCACAGTGCAGTCTTTAATTACCCTGCACCACATACTATTTTTTGAGGAAGGCCGGACCCCAGCCTCCCTGAGCTCTGCGGACAGCGGTGCTCTCTGAAAGGATCACTACTCAATATTTTCCTTTGTCCCCATTACTCAGTGTCTGCCGTCATGCATTATTTAGCGCATGCCATCCAGCTCCCGAAACACAACACACAACTACACGCTGCCTCCTGGCCTTTTCAGCAGGGCTTTGTCAAAGGCTGAATGGCCACTCTTTAGGGAGAGGGGGCTCTGTCCTCCTGTCACCACCCTCTGGAGGGGCAGTGAGGCTCTTCCCACTCCCCCATAAGTAATTAAATGCTGAGCAGCCGCTGGGCAACCTGAAAACACCTGGTCCTGATAGAAGGCTGCCAGCCCCAAGGGGAAGTTCCTAGAAGGGAGTGGGTGATGCTCTGGGGGAAGGATGTGAGGTAAGACCTGCTAGGCAGATATAGGAGAGTGTTAGTGTGGAATAAAGCTCTGCTAGGAGGCAGGTGTTGAGGGGAACGTGCTGCCAAGCATGGGGCCTGCACACAGGGCTTCTGGGCTAGCTGGTTCTGACGTCCCAGAGCCCACCATGGGACGTAGCCCTTCCTCTGAGGGCAGGGATGTACCTCCTGGTGTCTGAGGATCCTACTGGGAATGAGCCTCCTGTGCTGGAGCACAGTGAGTATCATCAGCTGGGTTTCAAAGCGAGCACAAGGGTGGTGTTTGGATGCAGGGGAGGGGGGTTCTTCTGTCCCTCCCCACCCCCCCCCCCCCTTCTTTTTTTAGTAGTAGTTTGTCCAGCTTCCTGCCCTAAGGCAAAGCGATAGCTTCAAAAATTACTTTATTGCTGGCAGTGGTGGCGAGCCTAATTGCTTAGCTACCTGACATCCCCCTGTGCTCTGGTGGTCTGCCTTACCAGCTACATATTTTTTTGGTTGCCTCAGCAGAGGAGGCAAGGTCCTTCACCAAGCACCACTGTCCTATGCTGGAAGCCCACTCAGTATGGGTGCTGAGGGAGGGTGAGGGCAGGCACAAAACTGCTTAAATAATGTCTTTAACCCTGCCTGTGTAAAGGACCAAAGCAAGGGTGTATAGGAAAGTTTACTTTTGATAGTCTCCAATTCCAGTCCAGCTAATGCTGCATCTTGCAAGTTCTTATACCATTATTTACTGGTTCTGCCTACATAGCTATAATGAAGTGTCCTGTTTCCTGAGCAGCACGTAGATGGGCAAGGAGCACCAGAATGACCCTGACAGGTATGCAACACCATTATGGAGTACCAGCAGGCTTGCAATTCCTGTTCACTCACCTCTTATCAAATGCAGTCACGTTGGGCAGCTGCTTCCGGTATGTCTCCAGCAACACCCACTCGGAGCACTGGGCTGGCATGGGATGAGGAGGGAGAGGCTTGGAAAACCTAAACCGAACAGTGCCAGCGCGTGTGAAGCAAATGTAGCAGTTGGGCATATAGGTGGCATTGTATACCAGCCAGTCCACACTCAGGATGGCATAGTCATGCAGGTGTAAGACAGCACCTGGTAAGAGGAAAAGCAGTTCTAATGAGACAAGGCAGCTGAAGAGAAGGAAAACTGCTTTAATGTAATAGCAGTTCAAGCTTGCTCATCCTGAAGCATATGGAAATGCTTCTCGATGGTCATGACTGACCTCTCCCATCAGCAAGACTGCTACTCTGCCCCCTCTGTGTTGGGCGATGCAGCCTACTCCACATCAAAAATGGGGTAGGCAGAGCGTGACAGCTCCCTGGGAGCAGAGGCAGGGATTAAATCAATAGGGAGCTCTACTTTTCCACTGGGATGGAAAATGCTCTGAGTTATTAAACGTCTTTCAGAGTTTGCCACAGCAAACTGGCCCCACTTAAAGAGGAGTGTTCACAGTCGGCAGCCATTCACAAGGCATGCTAGCTACCAGGCACACCTGAACCAAGCCTCTAAGTTGTCTGAATCCCAGTATGTTTTTTTTTTTTTTCCTTTTTTCTGCATCTACATGTCTCTGTCATGTCTTAGAAACTCTGGCCTATACCAAAATCTTGGGTCATGACGTAGTGGGATATTAGTCAGATGCAGAAGTAACATCTACCTCTCCCCTCTTATCAAATACATGTTCACCCATCTGCTGCTGGCCAGTAACATGTACATTTGGTAAGCTCTGTTACTATGCAGTGTGTCAGCAACTCTGTCAGCTTACCCTCTGTAAGTGGAAGATGCTGTGCTAGTGGAAGCTCAGGTCTTAAGAGATACGTATATTATTGGTCTAGGTGAGACCTCTTATTCAAAATACATCTGATCCACTTAAGGATAGGGAGAGAGGACAAACAGCAGCAACAGAAATTCAAAATACATCTGATCCACTTAAGGAGGGAGGACAAACAGCAGCAACAGAAGAGAAAATTGGTCATCATGCAATGTTAACCAAACTGAAACTTTAAGACTAGCCAGTCAATAGTTCTTTGTTATAAAAGGTCTGACTGTTAAGCTGATATGCAGTGGTGATTACTGTTCTCACCAGAGCTAGACTGAGGCTCTCTGCAAAAGCAGGCCATGGTTGCCCAAAGCTGAGTCTCCTGTCATTTACAGTACCACCCTCTTCCTTATGTGAGTAGCAATAGCTATTACAGTAGTGTTTGAAATAATAGTAATTCCTAGGTGATCTACTCAAGACTGAGGCCTCAAAAACTATTTCTGCACAAGGAATGACAAATATGTATTCTTAACCCTAAAAAGCTTGCAGTTCTTCCAAGGAGTCAGAGTTTATTTTAATATCTCTTGGACTGGAACGTGTTAAGTAATCTGTTTCCTTCTAGATATCCAAGATAACCTTTTTGAGGGGAAGAGGGGGTTGCTTTTAAGTTCCTTACTACTCAACTCAATGGAGAACAGAAAATGGCCCTGTTGTCATTTCAAGCATTTATCTTCACTGGTCAGGATGCTGCATGCCAAGGAGTCACATCAGACTGGGAGCAGAACAAGATGGTTCTTATCCATGCATTAGTGTCACAGCCTTGCAGAGAAGCTGCCCTGTGGCTCTGCTGAAGCCAGTCACCAGCTGCTGGTGAGGGAGTTGCATGGGTGAGGCCATGGGACAGCATCTAAAAAGGGACTATTTGGAAAAGTGAATACATCATCCAGAGTAATAGAGCTGTCGAAAATTTTCACCAAGTGCCTCTTATCTTTAGTTAAAGAATGCAACTTGTTCAAACACTTCCTCGCTAAACAGAGGGAGAAATTGGTCAGTTAGGAATTTAGGTCTTCCTACTGCAACTGCCTTGGCCTCTTGCCTCTCCATTGGACTCTAAGCAGCTCAGAGACATGGAGATGTCTGCATCCCTGAAAGCCAGCTTAGATGGCTTGGATTTCTATAGAGCTAAAAGCATCCTCCAGTGTACCCTGGAGAGCTGTGACTTCAAATGCTGATGTGTTCCAGGTGTTCGATGGAGACTGCATAGAATATACTAAATGTATTGGACAAATTCACGCCATTATACAACCTAAACTGTTCCAAGTGCCTTTAAAACTATACCTGTGCTGCAGAGTATAAATAAGCCTCTTCTGGTGCAGAGCGTGGCAGACCATTAGCACATGGCTCCCTGAGCAATAGGGAAGAAAGTGTTGTGACAAGAGGATGATAGGACAAATGCCAGGCTTGTAAACAGAGGTCTTCCATAAGTGTACGGAAGAGAACTTGATTAAGAAAGACTAAACAGAAGAGTACATTAGGGTTGTTTTGTATTACATTCTACAAATCACATCAATACTGGCTTTGACTTACTGACATTCTACTAGTAAAAGCCTGCAATGTTGGACCTTTTTCCTCTGATACCTTTAGGTTTCCAGGAGACATCAGATCTGCTGCATGACTAATAGGAAATCATGCAGGGAATACAGCACTCCCAGCTAAGAGCTGAGCTAACAAGTTTGGGGACATGTCTCTGGAACGTGTAGAAAAGAGACCCTTGCTGCATAAGTAGGCTGAAGTAGGAATTCTTGTGACATCTTGTTCTCTTCCATTCCTCTGCCCTTTTCCCCCACTTGAAAGGCTAAAAGAGCTGTGCTGAAAGTTATACCAAGTGCTGCTGGGGTTGGAAACCTGTATTTGCACAGTCCATCACCTCTTTGCCCACCTCTATCCCCAAGATAAGCAATGAGGCTCTCCCTGAGATCCAGTGAGTACTGTTCACAACTTTTATAAGTTTGCTTGGGAGCAAAGGTTTGCCATATCTTGTACTTTATCCCAGCTTCAGCATAGACAACAACAGGGAAGGATGGATAGGAGAAGGGGCCCCTAGGCTAGAGCCTACCTTTTGGCATGCGCTTCAAGATGCGGAACACTGCGCTCCGATCAATGAGGCTTTTGGCCCGGAAGAAGTGCATGCTTGGAGGGAACAGTCCTGTATTCATGGCAGTGGCAACTTCTTCCTTCTTGAGGCTTACAAGCTTTGTACTGAGCTGCTGTTCCTGCTTGTCCAGCACCAAGTTACCACCTGTCTGACAGGCTTTCTCTTCCTGCATGAGGGAGTCTCTGTCCTTCCAGAGTGGGATGGGAAGACAGAGGGGAACCAAATTCAGGAGAAAGTATGCCAGCCTTGTGCTTTGCCCAGATGGAGGCTTCATCTTACAGCTGCACCTGGAAGGAGAAGAAAAAAAGGCAAAAAAAGAACCCACAAAATCTGTGTAAGCACAAGGCAGACAGTAACACCTTAGCAATGACACATTGAGTCATTAAACTGCTGACCCCTCCTGCAAAAGTAGTCAGTTGCCGTGATGCTTGGTACTGTGGTACTGGCTGTATCCAGGGCTCTGTGTTCCCTGGGGCGCTGTGGATGTGCGCAGGCTTGTGGCGGGGAAGGCCTGCTGCACAGGATGAGACTGGTAGTGCGTCACGTGGATGGGCGGCGTGGTGAGGGTCTAGCCCGAGGGTTGGGGAGGCTGGGACTCCAAGGCAAGGCAAGGTAGAGCCCCCTGAGCATAAGGGGTGCTGGTGACAGGGTGCCATGCTGTGTGGCCGGTGCCAGGGGGCAAAGTGCTCGGGGAGGAGCTTTTGTGAGTGTATAGGCTATGCTAGATTGCAGAACTATGCAGGTCCTGTCAAAAAGACTTCGCTACATCCTCATAGTATGCTCCAGCTACCAGAGGCTTTAGTTTACAGCCAGACATCCCTGCTGCTTCCTCTGTAGCAGCAGGAGCATGTCCCTTTCTTGCAATCCCAGAAGAATGGGACAGGAAGGGAGAACATGGGAATAGTAAGAGCATGTAAATCACAGAAGACAGGCACATGTGAACTCAGAGATCTCTGCCCTTCCCAAAAAAGCACAGCTGCAATCTAATATCCCAACACCAGGCTTCAGTGACCCTCCACATCAATCCCACCAGACCAAAGCAGGCTGGAGCAAGACTCGACATTTCAAAATGGTCCCCTGTGACTTATATTGCGTCCTGCTTGCACACATGCCTTCTGCTTCTAGCCTCTTCTCCACCCCCAGCTTTGCTCAGACGCCTCCACCCCCCTCCAGTTCTGCCCCATCAGTTGGTCCCACAAGCTGCAGACTTGATGGGGAAGAAATCAGTCTGCAGACCCACATCAGGCCTGGTTCTGAACCTGGAGAGAAAAGCCTCTCTAAAAAGCACTAGGACAGTCATAGTGAGACTGACTCACTTACTGTTAATTTTTCTCCTCCTTGCATCCAGAGCTCATCCAACTGCAATCGGAGAGAGCAGGGAACAGTTTTCTTTCGCAAGCAGAAAATGCCACGGCCAAAGCTAAACAAGCAGGCTCTGTCCTGGCTGTGCCAAGCAAGGCGCGAGCCAGCCCCGCCAGCACACAAAGTTCCCCTTCCTGTCCTGGAGTTTCGCTTCGCTCAGCTTTTATTCTTCCCCCTCCCCTGTCCCTAGAGCTTCATGAATATATAAAGAGGAGGAGGAGGCAGCTGAGGAGAGGAGAAAGGTTCTGCCGGGGGGCGAGGGGCCCAAGCCCGGCAGCCAGGTGAGGAGCGCGGTGCCCCTTGCCCAGCGCTGCAGGCACCTGCAGACAGGGCCGCTTCCCAAACACGCTGCTCCTGCAGCCTCCTGCGTGCCCTGCTGCTCCTCCGCCGCCTCCAAGCAGCCTCGAGGAAACGCTCAGACGCCTCCCGCGCAGGGAGACTCTGAAACGCCAAGGATAGGTCTGAGCTTTGCTAGTCTAATCTCATGCAGGATACTGGGCTTTTAGTGCTGTTTAGCAGCACTGCAAATTCTATTGAATAACGTCTTTTAATCTGAGAAAATAGGAATTTGTAAAGGTACATTTAAATGGTTTTTGCCTAATCCTTGTCAGCTCTGTAAACCAGGCCAGAGCCACTCTGACAGAGCTCACCAGAGCAGCATTTGGCACACAGCGATAAACTTTTCCCTGCGGAGTAAATTAGGGGTTAGTGGGGGCACAGCTGTTAATTTTTTTTTTAACCATAACCAATATTGTAATTTTGCTGTTTTATCATGCACAGTTAAATAGGCTTAGTTTTAAAGTTATTTAAAACAGATGTTACATAAACAGCTTCCAGTGGAGAACAAAGTCCACTTTAAACAAAATTTCAATGAGTTTTCTCTTTTTTTTTTTTTAAATAAGACAGAAAGATTCTGCAAGTCAGCAGGTAGTGAAAACAACTAGCAGCAGTCAGAAAGACCATTTTAAAGGTAGAGAAAATAGTCTGGTCAGTAATACATTAAATTTCATTGCCTGTCACTACTGCAACAGACTGAATACTACTGTGGACAGGCCACCCCAAATATTCCAGCTAGTCGGATAGTTGGATATACTGTGCCATCCCCCTCTTCTGAGCCGCTCATCCTTTGCTGTCACTGAGATCAAGTCTGGTAGAAAATAAAAAGGGAAGCCTGCTACATTCAGGGGTCAATCAGGGTTTTCTAGCCCTGTGCA